CAGTGCTTGCTAAAGAGCCTGTTAAAATGGAGATCTTGCTAAAATGCAAGTTCTGATTCAGTGGGTCTGAGGTTCTAACAGGCTCCCTAGCTGCGGACCACACTTTGAGTAGCAAAGCTCTAAATTATTGGCACTTCTGTTTCCCACAGTGCTGCCATGGTGCATCAGCTGGGCAGCTAGTGCTTGAAGCAACTTCAGAAACATTTCTACTATATTATAAAAAACCTAGTCACTCGTCAGACTACCAGCCAGGAGTTGGCAAATCCAAATGCCTACAGATGCGGTCGTGCGCTTGCTGGAAGGGGCAGTGATGCTCGTGGAACCAGTGGCCGCCACCGGATGTGGCCACATGGATCCCAACCTTAAGCCCTTTGCGTTGGCTGTTTTCTGCCCAGAACGTTCTGTCCTCAAGATATTCCTGTTGGGCTCCCAGGTGTCTACAGGATCCCAGCTCTAATGTCACTTCACCAAAGGCTCTGGCCAGCCAATCATTCTCTCTGACATCACTCTACCTAACAGTCTTACGGTACTTAGGTCCTATGAAGCAAGCTGGCTCACTGTCTCCCTCATTTAGAACAAAAGCTTCATAATCACAGGGACCTTCCTTGCCTTGTTTTGTCATTGCTTTATCCCGAGAGCCAGAGCAGAGAAAGTACGGCACAAAGAAGCTGTTCAATAAATATTTGCGGAGGGCGCCTGGGTGGCTCAGTCGTTAAGCGTCTGCCTTCGGCTCAGGTCATGATCCCAGGGTCCTGGGATAGAGCCCCACATTGGGCTCCCTGCTGGGCGGGAAGCCTGCTTCTCCCTCTCCCACTCCCCCTGCTTGTGCTCCCACTCTCACTCTCTCTGTCAAATAAATAAATAAAATCTTTAAAAAAAATAAATATTTGCTGAAATGAACGAACTGTTTGATTTTCAGAAAAGAGAAGCCAAGAAAAGAATTCCATGGGAAATCTTTCATTTCTAAATGTTGGCAGTAAATTAAAACACAGCAAACAAACAACTGCCCCCAAACCAACTGTACGGGCCAAATCAAACACACCTGAGAATGGGGTGTTTTGCATTCCCAGATTCAGCCCATCATTCAATTAAGCCATATCAAGTCTTGGCATAGAAGCAGGAATGCACAGAAATCTGGTACACTAGGAAAGGAAAGGATCTGGAGTCCGAAGGAAATCATGTTTTGCATCTCTCCTGCACTCCCTGGCATGCTGTGTGTGTGTATGTGTGTGTGTGTGTGTGTGTGTGTGTGTGTGTGTGCGCTAAGTTTTGGCTTCTTTCTGATTAAGAAAGGCGGTAGCTCCCCACCTCCAGGGCTGCTCAGAGAACACTGATGAAAAATGTTGGTTTATAGCTATACCTGCTTTGCTAATGGATAAGCTCAGCAAAGAGTGAGTAGGAAAGGAAAAAAAAAACATTTTTACCCAAATGATCCTATTTTTCTTCTCCTTCAGTGTAGGCACATTTGAAATGTCTGGGCAGCCATGTACAGCTGCATCTATGGGTCATACTGCAGAGCAAGCAAGGGTGCTTCTAGAGACCCTTCGAATGGAGTGCATTCTCTGTAGGCTGGGTTTGCTCGGTGTGTGTGTGCTGCATACGCACGCGTACGCGTATAAACACACATAATTTTAAAGGAGTGACTCCAGGTAAGGGGCAAAAAGAATCAACATAGTAAAAACATCACCTATGCCTGGTTATGTGCTAGGTGCTTCATGGACCTTGTACCTTTCCAGTACTTCTACCACCTTGAAAGGCAGGCACTCTCTATCTCATTTTGGAGGCTACCAACATGAGGCTCAGAGAAGGGAGTGATTTGCCCAGGCACGGGCTCACCCCTAACATTTGCAGAACTCAAGACAAGAGTATAAATGGATGTCCCTTACAACATATCTTAAGTGTTTAAAAGTTACAAAGCAAGTGATCGTGTTGTTAAATAAAAGCGTCCTACCTTTCAACCATAACTTTATAGAACCTAAAGTCTAGGATTGGATGTAGAATTCTTCAGTGCTTCAGAGTACATGCTGGAACAAACGGCGTGAGGGGAGTTGGTCTGAGACCTATACCCCTTAACTCACCCTTCGCCTCGTGCACATGGATGTGGATGCCTACTCCATGTCCAAGCTCACGACCCAGCCAGCGCCCACTCCGTGGCCACTCCTCTGGCCTGAGGGTATGCACATGGCGCACGTATAGGGGTGGGGGGGTCTGCCCTCTGGGAAAAGGACTTAGGGTAGAGCACCTGGAAGCCGGGTTAGGCCTGTGTGGGCAGGGAACCCTGGATTCTAGGGTACCAGAAGGGTATTCTAGAAAGGGGTCTCAGATGCTAGGTGGCCACATCCTTTTGGGCCAGTGGATACCTTATCCCATGAGGAGAGGGCACAGCTGGAGGAGGGTCAGAGTGAGGTCCTCTCAACTGGAGTGTCAGAGCAGCTCTCCCTCTTGCTCAGCCTAAGGTTGGTACTGCCCAAGGGGCAGAGCCACTAAGAGGGAGAACTTTATTCTAAGAGATAAAATGGGGGCGCCTGGATGGTACAGTCAGTGAAGTGTCCGACTCTTGGTTTCAGCTCAGGTCATGATCTCAGGGTCGTGGGATTGAGCCCTGAGGGGGGCTCTGAGCTCAGCATGGGGTCCGTTTGGGATTCTCTCTCCCTCTCTGTCCCTCCCACTTGTGCTCTCACTCTCTCTCTCTCAAATAAATAAATAAATCTTAAAAAGTTCAGAAGATAAAATGACCTATCTAAAAGATTTTCTCAGTAGTGCATATATTTCCAAGATTAAATCAGGAGTGTTGATGAAGCTTTGCCGAAAATAGACATTAGGCCAGGCCTATCTTTCCTTCCGATGATTTCCAGACCTGATTAATGTACAAAAATAATTTAGAAGGGAAACAAAATTCTTATGCAATGTGTTCAACTTATTTAAAAAGTCATTATGTGTTAAATATATCCTAATATAAAAGAGTGTAGCTCATACAAAAGTCTGAAACCAAAACAAGTTTAAAAAGGATACAGAAGCGGGCTATAAAACTTCAAAATAAAATTAAATTAAAAAAACAGCAACATAATGTAGTACCTGATGCCTCTAGGGCACTTGTCACTTGTATAAACATGACAGAGATGTAGGGTGAAGCTTCTTTTGAGCTTGGTGTGCCTGTGACTTGATTCTCCTGCCACCTTTTTCTGGCTGAACTTGCCAAGAAATTTTCCTCTTTCCACAGACTTTGATCTTACATTTCCTTAATATGGTGGGGTCCCTGATGAATGGCAGCTACCCCAGTTCAGTTCTCTCTTGGAGATTCTATTCTATCCACTAGTCTACTGCTAAGTGTATATCCAAGCGATGAGAGTATCCGATGGCTTTATATTCTGTATCGAATCCTGATGATGCAGAATATTCTTCATGTTAAATTTTACAAGAATAATACCAGGATCCAGCTCTCAGATTTTAAAATCCTTGCGGACAATTCCCACACACCAAAGCAGCTCTCTGGACAAACAGATTCCAGTGCGAAAAACTTGGAATCTTACTCAGGAAAGCCTAGTCGTTGGGGTCTTCCTCCATCCCAAGTCCTCCTCCTCACTCCTCAGGGTCCTCACCCGCTGAGGGGAGGACAATGACACGGGTTGCTGTAGAGATCAAGGGTGCAGAGTCGTGAGAAGGAAGAGCAGGGCTGGGCTGAAGTTCGGATGCCCGGCACCCGGCCGGGCTCTCTCCCTGGGCAAACACTTGCTTGGCACACCAGGGGACTTACTTGCCTGCTTTGCTCAAATCGAAACCTATTCTGAACTGTAAGACTTACTTGGAAATAGGGAAACAGCAGGGACATTTAAAACATGGAACAGCTCATATAAATATGAAACAAGGGTACCAGCCAAACAGATTGGATACCTGGGGCTTACCAAATACACGACAGCTTTAGCTGAGAACGGATACTAAATTTAAAGACACTAGGACTTCCCTGTTCTTGTCCTTTCTTACATCATGTTTCACCCAAGCCGCAGAAGCTGAATATGGGCTCCATAAAAGCAGTGATGATTATAATGATGATGGCTAACATGCACAGAGCTCTTTATCGAGTGCAAGGCGCCGTTCCCATTTTACGGCCCAGGGAGGATGAAGGACTTCTCAACATCACACAACTAGTAACCTAGTTGCTTAGTAGGAGGAGTCAGTTTCCGAGTCCAAGCTGCCTCAATTGCTGGGCTTCACGCTGCCTATATTCTATAGACTCCTGCTAAACACTATACTATCAGTGCAAATTCTATCAAAAAATACCTTTCCCTTTAATTATCCATTTCAATGGAGAGAACTGACAACAGAAGGCATTTTAAAATTGTTTGGTTTTAAAGTAAATTATGGCAGCTTCAACCTTCCTATTTTTCACCCAGGCTGACATTAGAACGAGTGATGCTAGACACAATGCTGAAAAGGCAGGCCGAGGGGCAGTGGCAACACAAGGGGGCTTGGAGGCTTCCAGGGGACGGGGAAGCCAGCAGGAGGCTACAAATTTGCCACAGAAAATCCACAACGTGAATAATCCGTAAGTGGGAATTAAGAGTTGACAGTAAGACACATTTCCTTTCAGGAGGAACATGCTGCTCTTGCTCCAAGGCCACAAAGTGGGCAACAGTCATTCGTAAAGCTTGCCAAAAACGGTTTCGGTTAAACTCAAGCACAGGAAGTTCTACTTCTGTATAAAGTGACACTATGGGAAGATGAAGTCTGTAAGAAAAAGGTTTCAAAACAAAAATGGCCCTGAACCACAACTATAATGTAGCTCATGTGACGGCATTCATTATTCTCTGAAAAGTCTCATTTCAGGGCTGGGTGGGGGAGGCGGTAGCCACAAACACAAAAGGCTTAACGATTCCTAGGAATGGATTGATATCACAAGAATGTTTTTTTTTAGTTGCTAGGCAACAATTGAAAAACAAATGTCCATGTTCTGAGATCACTGTGCATCCGTTCTCCCAACGGGCGGCGCACGGGCTCCTTGGCCCGAGCGCACTCCCCTCGGACCACAGGGGCAGCGTGTCATCACAGTGCTGATGCTCGTGGCCGCTCGTGGCCTGTCGTGGCAAAAAGATGCCAATCTGTGTCTTGAAACCACACCAGTTTGTTGGCCACGTGGCAGCCGAGATTTCCGGTCAGCTAGAGTTCAGCCATCGGATTACCACCATTTACCCCAATGACGTCCTGTTCCACCCTTGTGTTCCGTTCTGTCCTTTACATCATTTCAGTCAGCCTTCTTTGCAGGTAAATTACCTTGGTTTCTCCGACATACCCAACAGAAGCCTGAATTCACTTTTGTGGGCAATTTTAACATCTGGGGAAAGTAGAGACTCCTTTCCTGAGAGTTCTTTGTTTCTAAGAAACAGCCTTCGCTGGGAGAAGACCTATTTCATATCATCTTTCTTAAGGATCTACTGACATCACACTTAAGATTAGGTGAGTCTGCTTCCTTCTTTGTAGTACTCTTAACTATGGAGTCTGTTCTTTTGGAAAAAACAAACGGTTCTAAAATTAATATCACACATGTAAACATGCACTTAATTGCTAGAAACATGAACTCCCTTCTTTTGTTCTAACTTTTGCCCAGCCTGTGTAATATAGTTCATCCTTGTAATTCAATCTCTACATCTCAGTATTCAATATGTCACCTTCCCTCCTGACGTGTGGCTCAGGACAGGGAGAGAAAAAGATAAGGCAGGGATATTATGTTCATTTTTTTGCCAGTTCCAAACATAATTTGGTGCTATAAGAACTCCCATCCTTTCCTCCCCTGCCAAAAAAACAATGAAATGGAAAAAACATCCAGATCTATATTTTAAATCAAGCTCCACCTTCCAGGGCAGGCTGGCTGTGACTTACCTAAATGGACTAATTCAAAGAGCACAGCATCAGCAGTAATGTTCACCATCTGAAGCGGAGACCAATCCCCTCCAGGCCAGCTATGAGTGGGGATCCTGAGAGCCTGCTACATATGCACCATACATGCATGATAAGAGGTGGTTCAGTAACTGCCATTTCTATAGCAACCCACACACACTCTGCAGGCTGTGTTTTGGGAAGGCAGTTAAAACTGGATTCTACAACGTAGCTCCACTTAGAAGATGCTTTTATTTCTGTCATCTCGTTAGAATGAGAGTATTCAAATCCAGTAACCCAAGTGATCATTAAACCGCAGAAACTCATCACATCCAGAAACCGAAAGGTTGATTTCTTGGCCAATGTCACTCGGTCACTTTAAATCCAAACCACTGACCTGGTTTGCATGTTCAGAAGTGACCATTCCCCAGGGCAACAAGTCAGATCACAGTCTGACAACCAGGAACATCGGACAGCCATCTGCCGTCCCAGTTCTAGGTGAGAGAGCAAATGCCTGTAAAAGCAAGCTGACAGAATCCTCTCCTACTGCCCAGAAAGCCTCAGCTAAGATGCATTCACCATGACCAATGAAACTTCATGTGCCCGACCCGGGGAGGAAAACCGCCTCCTTCAAAGGACAGACTGCACCCCCGCACACGATTGATGAGAACGTGTGTTATGTCCACAATAGCCTCCCCCCCCACCACACCCATGACACAGACGCTGGCATTGTTATAATTTGCAAAAAAGCACCACAAGACAATCATAAGTTCAAGAAAACCTCTAATTCCTCAAAAGAAAGACTTGTGCTCACTACACAGAGTCCTCCCTTGCAGCACCAATCAAGCAGCATTTTAACACGACGGCTTCGGTGCTGCCTGTAAATGCAGCAAAGGTCTGAACTCTCGCACATGCAAACTGCACTTCTTAAAAAAATCCTCTTTATGGAGAGTGCACGTAACAATGAGCCAATTCAAACTGCTGTAACACACTAAACAAAATCCAACTTTACTTACACCCTAAGACAGTGCTGATCTATTAGGTCATCCTCCGGTGAACATGTGGGTTGAAGGATGGAGATACTAATTTGTATAATGGAAAATTTCTCGCTTGTTCCAAAAGGAAAAAAGAAGGACAACTGTAGCCATGAAGAAGAAGAAGAAGAAGAAGAAGAAGAAGAAGAAGAAGAAGAAGAAGAAGAAGAAAAGAAAGAAGAAAGAAGAAAGAAGAAAGAAGAAAGAAGAAAGAAGAAAGAAGAAAGAAGAAGAAGACGATGAAGACGATGAAGACGATGAAGACGATGATGACGATGACGGTGGCGGCAACAAGAGTGATAAACGACAGCAACAAATACTGACTCCAGTCTAATGGTGTTTGAAAAGGAGCACTTCGAGGTCCCTCTCCACAGAGTAAACTTTCAGTTATCTGGCAGTCATGGACTGCAGTATTCGAGTTAGTGTCAAAATGTGGATTTATTTTTCAAATAAAAGTCCCATGGGACTAAAAGCGATTCCATCTTTCTTTACAGAGTTTAAAGTCTTGCCCTTTAACAAAGGTGTTATCACTCTGAGCATCAATGCTCACTCCTGGCAAAATGCCGAAGGGCTACCTGGATGGCAGGAAGTACGGATGTGGCTGCACCAGGCACCCCCACTTCGGTCCTGCAGACCATGAGCGTAGAATCTACATTCTTTTTTTTTTTTTTAAGATTTTACTTATTTATTTGTCAGAGAGAGAGCATGCACAAGCAGGGGGAGTGGGCAGAGGGACAAGCAGGCTCCCTACTGAGCAGGAAGCCCAACACGGGGCTCAACCCCGTGGGATCGTGGGATCGTGACCTGAACTGAAGGCAGATGCTTAACTGACTGAGCCACCCAGGTGTCCCTAGAATCTACATTCTAATACTAGAATGGTAAGAGCCTCCCTCTCAATGCCTTTTACATCAAGGATCACATTTTTCTGTATGAGGTCAGATAGTAAGTATTTTCAGTTTGTGGGGACATCTGGTCTCTGTCTCAACCACTCAACCCGGTGGGTGTAATGAGATAGCACTCATGCAGACCATATACAAATGGGTGTGGTTGTGTTCCAGCGTCTTAGTCCCTTTGGGTTGCTATAAAAAAAAGAATAACATACGAAGTGGCTTATGAATTACAGATATTCATTGCTTACAGTTCTGGAGGCTGGGAAGTGCAAAATCAAGGTGCCGTCAGAATCAGTGTCTCATGAAATCCCACTTCCTAGTTCACAGGTGGCATCTTCTTGCTGTCCTCACATGGTGGAAGGGGTGAGAGGGCTCTCTGGGGTCTCTTTTACAAGGGCACTAATCCCATTCCTGAGGGCTCCACCTTCATTACCTAACCACCTCCCAAAGGCCCCACACCTCCACACCCATGGGGGTTAGGATTTCAACATAGGAACTTTGGGGAGGGGGATACAAACGTTCAGTCCATAGCATCCAATAAAAATTTTACTTAGGGATGCTTACATTTGAATTTCATATAATTTTCATGTGCCATGAGATACTCTTCTTTTGATTCTTTCTTCAATCATTTAAAAATGTAAATACCATTCTTAGCTTTGCTGTAGTTTGCCGACCCTGATTTAGGTGAACAATTTTTAATGGATTCACAGATTGCTGTATCTGGCTGTTAAACAGTTTGGAACTACAATTACTTTGATTTACCTTAAAAGCACACCATTTAAAGTGTTAAATAGTTTGAGGTGATTATTTATTGTGTTTGAATTAATCATAAATAGCTATTAATTAGTAAGTAGTGTTTTGTGCTTAAGATGTGTTCCTACTTTTTTCCTGATCTGATAATACTGTCTTGGAACTTTTTATTTAACCAAGATAACTTAATTTCTACTTAAATAATGATATTATTGATTAAATATAACAAAATAAGAACCTTAATAATAAAGAAAAAAATAGTAAAAAAAAAAAAACAACCCCAACCTTATGAAATATGTAGGCTTCTATTGAATTTAGGAAGTTAAAGAACATACGGTTTCTTTGAAATGTCCACCAATCTTAAAGTTTTCAGAAAGCATATTTTAATTCATTTGATTATTTTTGAATGACTATGCAAACGTTGGCTCTTCTGTGTACACATACAAGCTGTTATAGCCGGGAGCTGGCAGTCACATTTCTTGCAGTAGATGCTCGGTTAAAAAGACCCTTTGAGTGAAAATAGATCATGTACACAATGAAGGTTCTCAATGGCAAAAGGCTTGATGCTGTGGGGATTATTTCCAGAGAAGAGATAGAGAATCGGGTAACTTCCATTTCAGAGGCTTCCTCCTAACAATGCACATTTCTTTGTTTTCACGGACTTCTGTTATTGTGTTAATTTCCCGTTGCTTCTGTAATAAATGACCACAGACTTAGGGGCTTAAAACAACCCAACTGTATTCTCTTAAAGTTCTGGAAGTGAGAGGTCTGAAGTCAGTTCCGTTGAGCGCAAGTCAAGGTGTCAGCAGGCTTGGTTCCCTCTGGAGGCTCCCAGGGGAACATCTGTTGCCTTGCCCTGTTCAGCTTCTCGTGGCCACCTGCGTTCCTTGGCTAGTGGCCCCCTCCTCTATATTCAAAGGACATCGCCCGAGTCTCTGCTCCGACCACGCTGTTGCCATCTCCTCTGGTTCTGATTCCTCCTGTCTCCCTCACAAGGACCGCCGTGATCACAGTACATGCATCTGTCTCTTATTCCTGCAGCCACATCCCATCTCGTGTTGCTGTCAGATCAGCGTTTCTCAAGCTTCACCCTCTCCCTGTCTTCTCTGTGCTACCTCTGCCTCGGTTCAGACTCTTCCCTCTTTTCTGGCCAAGTCCAGCTGCGGTTGGGAGTGCCTCCCACCTCTCCTTCCCGCCACCGGGTCTTCTGTATCGCACCGTAGGTTATCCTTCCAAAGCACAGACCGCTTTCCCAGGCAAGACTGTCCCCGGGCTCCTCAGGCCCACACATGCCTTCAGAGCTGGCCCCTGCCTCTCTCTCCCTCATGTCAAGCCACCATCTTCTGCATGCCCGCCATTGCTACCACACCACTGTGTGCCCTTCCCCGGCTGCGCAGAGGTGTCCCCATAGCTTGTCACATCATGTGAGTGGGATCTCTCTTTTTTCAAATCCCTTTCTCCATCCCCTAAACAGTAACGTAGCTCCTCCCGCTTACATTGTACATGTTACAGTGATACTAGAAATACATACGGGCAGGGCCTTGCAATTTCTTAGTTGTCAGGGCAGTTGAATATATTAGGAGATAACATTTGTACTTAAGAGGACTAATCTACATGGAAGATGATCATATACATACGGCTTTCCATTGCTTCGGAAAGATAACCTACGGTGCGATACAGAAGACCCAGTGGAGGGAAGGAGAGGTGGGAGGCACTCCAACAGCTGCTGGAATTGGGCCAGAAAAGAGGGAAGAGTCTGAGCCGAGGCAGAGGTAACATGGAGAAGACAGGGAGAGGGTGAAGCTTGAGAAACGCTCATCTGACAGCAACACGGGACTGGATGTGGCTGCAGGAATAAAGTGGGGATAACCCTGAGGTTTCTACTCTGATGGTCTGGTAGGCGATACCCTTAACCAAGAGAGGGAACACGGAGAGGTTTAGATGCTGCAGCAAGAGGAGTGGATAAGCCTTAATTTTAGGCATCTTGGACTTGACTTTCCTATGGCACATCCATACACTGATGTCTACTGGAAGGTCAGAAACACAGAGCAGAGACTAGGACCTGGGTGCATGGGCAGCTGTGGGAGTGAGGGAAGTGGTGTGGTGCCCTAGCAACTGGCATCAGCTAAGTTAGCAGCTGGGCAGAGGGCAGACGCCAGTGGCCAGCATACAAGGAGGACCCAGGGGGACACTGAGTCAAAGAGCCAACAGACGAGGGCCCTTCACAAAGGAAGGAAGATCTCGAAATGTCGCACAGACCTCGAAGCGGAGGAGGAGGTCACCTGCCTTCAGAGTCGTGCAGCCACTGGTGAGCTCCGGGACACCTGTTTCCGAAGAGTAGGCGGCAGGAGCAGGATCACAGTGGGCTGAGAAATGGAAGCAGCACGTGGGGAACAATCCTTCGAGAGATCTGGGCTAAGGGGTTTGGAGGGCACAGTCCGTGGGAGCCTTCTATAGGATGGGGAGACTTCTGTTTACTTTCTAAACTCTTCGGGTGTCCTTGCTCTGTGCTAGGCGCTCTACTAAGCCTCTTACAACTTTTAATTCATTTTCTCCCTGGAGTGGTTAATTTTTTGTGTCGACTTGGCTAAGCCATGGTCCCCAGATATTTGGTCAGACACGTATGAATGTTGCTGTGAAGGTATTTTTAAAGTGAGAGTAACATATAAATCAGTAGGCTGAGTAAAGCAGATTACCCTTCATAATATGGGTGGGCCTCATCTAGTCAGTTGAAGGCGTTAAGGAAAAGACTGACCTCTCCCAAGGAATAGGGAATTCCGCCAGCAGACTACCTTTGGGCTCAAACTACAGTATCGGCTCCTCTCTGGGTCTGTAGTCTGCAGGCTGACCCTGCAGATTACGGACTTGCCAGCCTCCACAAATGTATAAGCCAATTCCTTAAAATAAATCTCTTTCCACACACACCCCCCCCCCCACCCCCACACCCTATTGGTTCTGTTTCTCTGGAGAACTTTGTCTAATACACTCTTTGTAACAACATTATTATTATCATCGCCATTTCACAGTTGAGGAAACTGGCACAGAGAGGTTAAGTAACTTGCTCGGGGCCACAGAGCCAGTGGGTAGCAGAGCCGGAATAACAATCCAGTGTGCCCCCAGGCCCCTTGCTCTTAACCACATGTCATGCTGCTGCTTCAGTGCGCTGACCTGAGCACGTTTGGGGCCAACTAGGAGGTCGAAGGGAGAGAAGCAGATCATACAGGGGGATAAGAGCCTCAACAAAGGCACATCTTACACAAATGAGAAAACAGGCACGGGGATTTGCCCAAGGCGGGACTGACAGCTTTGTAAGAGCAGACCCAGGTTTTCAGGGTACAAAATACAAGCTGTCTCCATTCTCCTTCCTACTTTCTCCTGTGTTCTTCTGAGATTCTCCCAGGCACGCCCCTCTCACTCTGTCTTCTTCTGGGAGGTGTTGGGCTTCTTAGGTCCCGACTAAGTCCTCGAGAACAC